AGGACTTGCCCATCACCTTGGCTTTGCCTCAATGATTCTTCCCCCATTTGTGTTTTATCTGTAATTCATTCCCAAACGCTAAATGAACATTGCATTTGTCCACAGTAGATATCATTTGCGATATAGCAAAATGGTCGGGGAACTAAATCGTGGCTTGTCTTTGCAACTTTATCAGGGGGTGTTATGTTTTACCACGTTCTCGATCGTCTGGTCGAAGGTTGGTATCGCTCCTACCCAGTGAACCACGTGTTCGATTACATTCACGGTATACGTAAGCACCGGGAATACCGGCATTGTTCGGATTCTCGGCAGAGCCGAAAAAGTAGTCATCAATACGCCTTAACCCATTACCACCACCAAACTGATAATAATAATAATATACGACTATGAGTCAGGAGCAGTCTGAAAGTTGGCTGGAGTGATAAACTCTATTCCAAAGAGCTCCTGAGTTTAATGAGTAACAATTAAATTTAAACTAATCTATCAATCCTGTATTTGAAACCTTGAAGATATGGAGCGTTCAGCAGCTTTATGTCTTAAGGAAAGAAGGATGAACTAAATCCAGAAATCGGACTGGAGGGGACGTGTAGTACCCGAAATTGGGGAGCAGAAGAAAAGAACGTACAACAATGAGGAACTAAGAAGGAGAAACTTCTGAAATAGGGCGAAAGGTAGTAGGCGTCACTTTTTTGGGGGTGTAGAGTAGCACCCAAGGGAGGCCCAAGCGGAACTTTGGTTGACAACGGAGGTCGTTCATGCATGCATTTCAGATGGTTGATGAAGTGTAAGGTGAATAGATATTGAGTAGTGGAGGGTGGCGTTGTCAAGAGAAGCATGTGGTTAAAAGTAAAAGAGAGATATTCATTGGTAAATAATTAGTGTTAAACAGTGCAAATGGGAAAGCCAACGCCCACACGGAGAATACTCGATATAACCCAGGTAATCTGGGTGGCGATAGGGCGACCGCTGGGGATTTTTCAGATAAACTAAATGAGTTCTAGAAGGAAATATGATAGAATTTCGTCAGTAGACCATGTCACACTGGGTCAGAGGCTTTCTTGTTCTCCCGAGATACCGGTTACAAGTCACCATAATCGTTCTTTATGGAGAACCAGATTCGGGTTCTATGACTTTGACGAGGACCGGAATAAGATGGAATAGGTCGCCAAGCCTGACTAATGGGGAAAGTGCGGAGATCTCCAACGAGGATGAAAATCAATAGATTAGGGGGTAAAGGTGGGACTGATGAAGGAGAATGTAAGCTAGTTTTAGCGCCTAATGTTTGGAACATCACCTGGGCTAGGTAGATTAGATGCGTCAAGACCAGAGGAGTTTGACGAAAAAACTTCTGGATGTCGTTTTTCGAACAAACGGAAATTCTGTAGTAACAGCTATCAACTTTCTCCAGTGGATTTGAGATGAAACCGTCTAACATGTCAAAGAAAGCAAACAAGCCTGGAAGTTATGATAGACGGTTTTCAGAAGTGAATTGCATAAGAAACAAATCACAAATAACTTGGAAGAGATTTGGTGTATAGCTAAGGCAACCGAGAAAAGACGAGCTCAGAACTAGCCTAGTGTGTGCCGAGTTGGCATGGCTTACAACATTGGGATTTTCTCGGCGATCTCTGATTCTGTTGGTGTTTGAGTACACTGACGAATTTGGTTTTCGGCGTGTGAATTGGAGAAGCACAGTGAAATCAACCTCATGATCGTTGATAACAGAACGCATGATGCTGTGCACAGAAAACACAAACGCGCATTGAAAACATCAAAGTTTGTGTGCTCTTTGTTGATTCACCAAAGAAGTGGTGCAGCGCGTATCTCCGAGATCAAAGTTTCCGACCAACATTTTGAATTCGGATTGTTGAGAATCACAGCTAACCAAGCTTGCGGTTAAAAAGACAGTGTGTTTCAAAGATGACTGATGGCCAACGTGTTTTTTCGGAGAATAGCATGACCACTGGATCCAAATGATCGTTCGCAAAAGTATCGTACTGAAAAGAGAATTTAGTCGCGAAGAATGGCCGTCAACCTACCATATTGGTCATACTTACTGAGTGTTTAGTCCTCAAATCCATAATTAACCGAACTGCTTATTATTAAACAGTTTAATATAAAATCCACAGATATTATAAACGTGTAGGACAATTGCGTACAACTTATTTTCTATGTGTTCTCAATGGTGTAAAATACCAATCAAGTTTATCGAAGCCCAAACATACATGTATACGACTGGCTCCTTGAAAGTTCGCACGGAGTTGGCCTTATTTACGCATGGTGAAGCGAATGATTTAGACTGAATTCAGTCAAGAAAGCTCCCACCCAATAGCAATTCGTGTGCTCTCCGAATATTCTTAAAATTTGAAGAACTGAATTTGTCACAGTAGAGATGGAGTGGAATTTGGTGCAGATCTGTCACACTCCTTTCGATGATTGAGTCGTAATAACCATAACCCTGGTTAGACTGATGAATGAACTAATTGAAGAACCCCATTCGACCTAAGCAAATCAACGTTTCCGTAAAATGTTAGCCTGGAAACCAGCACAGTTTCCGACCATCAGGATAGTTGTGACAAATTTTAGAGTGTGCGAGTTTTGTGAAGCCTCCTGTCCCTCGTCAAAACCAAACCGACCGACCCAGAGGAAGACCAGTCTATGTGAACAAACGCGCAGAGGAATGAGGAACCATCTTAGTATCACATCTGTTCTCTCCCGACCGTTTGAGCTGAATTATTCAGTACACTGTCACTGCTCGCACACATTTGTAACCCGGAACATGCACTGAATGCGGTTGATCTGACATTACGAAAATGTATACATGCGTATTTTTAAGCTAGTCGAGGATAGCGATTTCGCGGGTTTATTTATACACCCTGTAGCCATACGTTTGCCATAATAGCCTCAAACCGTAAATAAACCTGATTGCGTAACTCACGTGTTCACTACCATTTTTACCGACTCGTTTGAACTTGTAAGATTCTGTGTTAGACAAGATTTTACAAATGTGCAATTACAACCAAATGAGTGCATGCAAAATCGACGACCGACACTAACTTTGCATACGTAAATCAAACGGATTTAGAGAGAAAGAGGTTTAACAAAAATGCAACCATTAGTAAGAGAGCCACTAACACGCATCATAGGAGTCTTGTTTTTCAGTCAACTCATATTGTAAAATTGATAAATGAAAACTGGTGGTTGGAATAAAGTGAGATTAGTGTTGACGGGGAATAATCTAGACCACTGGTTTTATCACCTTGAGCTCCGATGAACGGCTTACAGTCAAATTTTCTGCTTACGATCAGTATTCTTCTCCAATGCACATTATATTACTGACTTGTCTGTGTCCCTTGAGTTACGTGGTTAAAAGATAATGTTGTGAGTTCTATCCACATACATTAAAACTCACCTTTGCAGATGTCAAATCGGTTCTATTATATTATGATCTAATTCTCTCGTGAATGCAGAATGAGTTAAACAAATTATCATTCAATTTTTCAAAAAAAAGATACCGGTTCATCATTTGTTGGTGGTCAGAATACTGTCAGGTTCTCCGGGTGAGTTTTCTCGGGGAGTGCATAAACGTGACCTTCGGCTATCAAAATCTGGCCGACAAGGCAGCGCCGGGATGTACGAAAACTGGAGGGTCTGGCATCTAATCAGTCGGACCACACCTTTTGGATGGGGTCAAACGTCGCAGGAGCCCAGTACACCTCGATGCGCGACCAAACCACTAACTACTACAACAACCACAGATACCGATGTGGGTCGCACGTCTATTCTAGGCTGAATTGGAACTAACTAACTTCGAGCGGTGATTTCCCCGTGGTAACGTCACCAAATTAAAATCCCGTAGGACGTGTGTTCGGGTCCAGCCACCGCCATTGTGATTCTACGGTAGCTCTTTAATTGGCCACCTCACTCTCCTGGAAATTGTAGCTTTGTATATTTAATAAAAGGCAATAAGATGAAAATTAAGGGACGATTGATTGGTGGCCCACGAATTTGTTCGATTAAACCCGTGCTTCAATGAAACTTGCGTACTCCATATGCAAGTACGTATGGTGTAACTTGGCTCACGCGTGAGGTATTTTCGCGACATCCACTAGTACGGAATTCTGTTTTACCACAATCATGAATGTTTCGACTGTTGGCACTTACCGACCATGTGGATTGCGGCGTTATCGTGGTCCACGCGATTGCAACGCTCCTTTACGACCATGGATACAACCACATCATGACAGAACCTTGCAACAGGTTTCTGTTTACATGTGGTGAAATAAATCGTTCGAACCAGATGATCGAAAAGTTTTAGGTGATAGTGTTATTGGTCCAATCTTGCAAAAAGGCGTTCTCATTGGGTCAGCAGTTATAGGAAGCGACAAAAACAGACACTGTGATGGAAACAATTGGTATTGACTAGATTTCACAAGAAGCATAGATTTCGTATTTTTTAAGGAAATAGGGCACTGTGGCTTTCCCCTGACACCTTCCGAGTTTCCCCCATGAAAAGCTAATCTCACTGAACACAAATTGCTTCATGTTTGAAATACATACAGAATTTGTCGGAACAGTCGCACAAACGTGACAAATGGAATGCCAATGCAACTGTATTATTAAAATCATACCGTAGGTATAGAGAGACAATAACGCGATTTGGACTGTTCGATACGCACCTCGAGTGTGTGTGTGTGTATGATCGGCACGATGTAATTCGCCGCGCAATTGCTTCAAAGAGACAGACTGAACCACGTGTTCTCAACAACAGAGTGGCGAGTAGCATTTGGGTATATGGCCCCCCTTTGTATTTGCATATGATTCCTCCTCATCTGACCCGGGTTTTTTTCTCACAGTATGCTATAAAACGATTTCGTCGAAGTAGATCACAAAGTGCATAGCATAGGTGCAAAACAAATGACTAAAAATAAGCCTGCAACAGATGATACACAAATAAGATGAAACGGTCGTCTGAGAGCCTATCCTCCGGATTTGTGAGATCAAACAAGCACTCGAGGAGGGCATTTCTGTTCACAACTTTTTTCATCCGGAAAGCGATTGGCATTACCACCTTGACCTTGGTACGTGAACTGCACACACCGACCTTCTTTGCTAGTCCATCCCCACAGTGGAACCGGTTGATCGCCGAAACCAGAGTCCAGCGGCAGTTTACATTCTGGGCCTGAGCAAAGACGAAAGGCAGAAATAGGAGAGAATTGAACAAAGGATTGTAATTAGCCGTATTTGTAATGTCCAGTTACTAGACATACAAGCTAATGTATAATGAATCGGCGAGAGACTACTTTGATTAACGTCACCAATTTTTGAGATCCAGTGCATTTTTGATGATTGCGAAGCGTATGAAAAATGCAGTGTGGACTGGTCGAACACACTGCTCGCACAGAAGATGTACGCTGGCCACCCCTACCGTTTTGAGGAAATTAGAAAACACTAACATTCAAGCAACGGATATAGTTTCTTTCGACTTCGTGGCCACTTTTAACTATTCACAGTGGTATTGATTTATGAAGCTGTGTGATATTCGAAATAGGAATCGGAAGCGAACATCGCGAACTCGCGTTCGGACTGTCAACCCACTGAATAGCGCTAAGTCAGGTAGAACCAAGATAAACTGTGGATACAGTAAATTCGATTCGGAAAATCATGCAAATAAAGAACACAAACGTCCAACAATGTCCAGTCGACAAAGACATGGTTCATTTGGTTGTCTTCTTGCATTCAGCCAATCCGATTGGTGCCACTTGAGATCACAGGATTGGTCGGGAAATCTGTTTCTTGATTGGCTATCCGGAAGCTATACCGTACATGCTTAGACGAATGGGCCCAGGTTAGTGNTTTAGCGACAGGCTTGATAAGACGAGATGGCCAAAATCTCTAGGACACAGGGATGATTTGGCAAAAATGTGCTAAATATGGCCTCAACTACTGTGCAGATGAGATGGTGAATAGTTTCAGGACATTTATACAGCGCAGTACATCGGATAGTGTTGACGTGCGGCAAGCAGCTGGCGAGGGGGGGGGGGNGGGGGGGACAACACAATTGATCCAAGTACTCTTATCACGTCAGATTAACAACCACTCTCACCCGGGGTTCGAATCTTACCGGATTTGTATTGTTGATTAATTTGAAGAAGGATGAAACAGATGTACAATGTGATTCCAATGCTTTTCAGTGGTGAATGACACGCAGATACCTCGATAAATTAACGAAATCTCCTAAATGGAACCTTTATCATTTCTCGCTCTACCAACTCGATAGATGGAGCGGATCAGAAAATAGTTTGATTTTCCTTCGGTATAACAAAACGATGCATTATCGATAATCATTCACTGTGTGCAAAAGTAAATACATACTAGCTCAATCAATTAGATTAACTCGCATTGTGGTGTGCATTCTGAAATCCAGAATCTAGAGCGACTAACAGCAATTATTATGCATGCGCATTCCTGGTTGCCATAGTTAAAGTTATGCGGTCAGTATACGTGTGTGTTATCAGTGTAAACGAGTGCATACAATCATTCAGCTGGTGGATAGAGCCAGTGCCAGATATGCAACTCATATAAGATGTTGGACAAGCTCGTGAAACGTGATCAGCAATGTGCAACGTTCTACAATATTTTGAAAACGGCACCATGTAAAAAAAATAGATTATCATTGATCGATCGACGGTTCACGCGACTACTCATATGCAAAGTACATGTCTCTACTATTCGTTTTCTCGTCACACTTGGGAGAGTGATCTTCATTAATTGTCATCATAATTAAAATTTAGGCATCCTCACCTACTTGTTTATTGATTCTCGTTGAGGTTTCGATAGAGAGAGGCAAAATCCAAAGATGTGCTAGGTGGCAGAAGTTTGTTGACATGCCTCGTCACTGTAGATACTCTGTTCACTTTATTATGCCGACGATTGAACACGGAATAAAAAATCGATAGCCGACTACAAGAACACCATTTGAGTAGCACTTAAACACTAAGTGAGGGCGTTAATGGACGCGAGAGATATGATGGTCTAAGACAGAAATCTAACCGTACTTTAACGATCACGAGAAAGAAGCAAACATGAGTGATCACTGATTTTTGTGAAGAAGGGTAGGGCGTTCTTGTGAGCATGTCCTGACAAACGGAGAAGCACTAGATATCGGTTATTTATTCGAGAAAAGTTTAAGTGACTTCAAACCAGCGCGAGATAAGAGCTTCCTCGATGTGCTACTACTTGAAGCAATGGAGAGGGAAGTAGACGTCAGTACTAAATGGATTTGTGAACAGGCTACTCTCGCATTGTTTGATGTGTATGCCTTAATTTACCTAATTAATGAGTTTTTCGCGTGATTGTCTATAAGATCTAACTAACTCCATTGTGTTTCTTTGTGAGCATCGAATTCGTACATATAGTTCACTGTATTTACACCCTTCAGGCTGATAACAGTTAGGGGAACTAAGAGATATTCATGAAGCCGGTAACCATAACCATCAAGGGCGTCTTAGTTAGTCATTCATGACAAATTATTATAGATTAACTATTCCTAAATATCCTAACTGGCCTGCAAAATGCTAATATGGAAGCATCATTGGGTAGTGGTGGTGGCGCGGTGGTTTAGTCGCTGTCACCGGCGTGCTTTAGACCCCATGATCTGAGGTTCGAGCCCCGCCACTGCCACCCGACTTTGGTGGTAGGCAGTTCTGCTGTCGTCCGGTTCAATACCACACTCAACCTAACGGAGCCTTATGTGGTTTACCACTCCAAGTCCCGGGGCTTAGGTTACCGGTTTCCATCACTGAACAGCAGGTCCTCATGATTATGGGGTTCCACCCCGTCTGCTATTCATCACACGAAAGTGTGTAATAAAAAAATTTAAAAAAGTCCTTGGAAGAGACCAGCGAGGTTCGCTTCGCTTCATCTCGTTGTACGATGATGATCACTAGCTAGGATATACATATATACGCGGCGTTTTGGATTGCTCTCTCGAGAACTTATCCGGTCAATCAGTGCGGAAAATGCTAAGCGTGAAATAAATATCGAAGGTCGTCAAAATAAAGACAGTGGTGCATAGTACGACGTAGAAAGCCAGTTGGTAGTTAACAAATGACTTCAAGTGAGAGAAACAAGAAATATGCAAGGATATTCAGAAGCGTGGATTCATTTTGCTATCAAATATTTGTGGTAGTGGTATTAAAACAATGTATAATGTGGTAAACAAGCTCACATACTCATATTCTCACTCGCAGTGGCAAGGTAAATTCGTGCGGTAAAAGATGCAGCAAGCATCATGACTAAGAACATCAAGAACCCAGTCATGACGAGACAAGCGACCCAGCCACGACGAATTTTTCGTCGTCGGTTGGAGCGAAATGCAGTGCGAGGGGCAGCCTGGCATCGTTCCTCATCTGGAGGATGAGCGAGCAGAGTATCTCTATCCTCGCTCATCAAGTTTGACAATCTAAAAGAAAAAACAAAGGTTGCAAATAATCAATGGAACATGAGGTAGATATGCTTAAGGCATGTGCAGTCAGATCGCTAGATAATCTAAGACTATAATGTTAAATAGGGATAAATGATTTTCAGAACTCATGATATCCACAGGCGGCTAGGCTGATACGGATTTTAATTCATAAAAGATCTCGTTTGAACCTTGCCCATGATCTTGGCTTTTCTTTCACCTGACCCAGTATAACGCTGATCCTAGTCCACTCGTCTTTTTCTGGTGTGTAACAGAAAAGAGCGATCCAAGGACCAATCACTGAATAAGCATTACCAAGCTATGTAGCACAGCAAAGATGAATATATGCGTGCACACACATGAGCTTCAAAACTGCCGATTGCTTCACTGAAGATACTGTGTGACCGATTGGAGGGAGAAATGCAGACCATCTCGGACAGTTGACAAACGTTTTGTGGTATCCTCACAACTGATATGTACACACTAACGTCTACCACGTATTTCTGCGAGTTAACTTCCTTTCCGTTTGCTTGTATGCTATTGGACTCGTTGGGTTTTGCCAATCAGATAATGTAACACTATTGTAAGTAAGCTGGCACAGGTGCATTTGCTGTACCATGATGGTCCAGTGCACATACATTATAACAGCGGTTTCACCTGATTATGGTTCC